ACCTTGGTTGTGAACGACACACACAGTATTGGGCATGGGAGGGGCACTGGTACTCAGGAGCCCCCAGTACCTGGGCCTGGTGCTGCAGGTGGAAGGTCACGGCAGTGCTGACTGGCCCGGCAGCGTCTCACACCTCGGAGGAGAGGATGGCTGAGCCCACCTGGGTGCTCAGGAACCTGCAGGGAGGACGGGGCATTTGAAGCGGCTGTGGGGGCACAGGCCCTGTGGTGCAGACAGTGCCTTCTGCACTCAAGCACAGCACTCAGGGCGCTGGGCCCCCTCCCTGTGCTGGTGGCCCTGTCCCCTCCAAGTCTCGGGACTGAAGCCAGGACCCTAGCGGAGTGAGCTGTGTCCCACCAGCCTCCCTCTCCGCCTGCCCAACATAGCGGCTGGGTCCCCCTCACCTCTGCAGCCTGCTCGCCTCCTCCTTCGGGCTGGCAGGGAGCTTGGGCTCCAGGCTGGGCGCCCCCAGGGTGCGCTGGAAGACACTAGATGAGAACCAGCTGTGGATGGCGGTGACTCCAGACAGGCCTGGCTGAGGGTGAGGGGGCCCCAAGACGTGGCCAGGTGACTGGGCAGGTGCTACCAGCTGGCTCTGAGGGGAGGGGTCTCCACTTCACAGGCAGGGAAACTGAGGCTCACCGCTTAGCCTCGACACTCCGACGTCCTCTGTCCTTTGTCCTATTCCCCATCCCTGCACAGCCTCAGGTGGGGCCTTCCTCTCCCATGCACTTCTGAGGAAAAATCTGTGGGTTAAATGAAGAGGCTAAGCGACACTACTGCAGGGCAGGTGCTTTTACCCTGGTCCTCACCCACCTTTCCCGAGGAGCTGCCGCACTTCCCCGGGGGGGATGTGGATGTGGCCAGGCCCCTCCGGGTGCCCGCCAGGCATCGTGAACATGTAGCCAGTGGTGCTGGCCTCCCTCAGGTGCAGGCTCCAAACCTGCAGGCCTGGAATGAAGCGGTTGGCAGCCGGGCCTTGGGCAGCGTGCCCTGGCCCTCTGCAGAGCACGATGTAGAAGCTGCAGCTGGCAGCTCCACAGGGTCACCTGCCCCTGTGTGGTCACAGGCCTGAGGCCACCATTCTTGCTCTGGGAGGCCCAGCCACTGGCCCAAGGGTGGGACCTGAGCACTAGTGAGCCACCAGAAGCCAGTGGGTGCCAGAGGACATGAATTTGTGCTTGAAGGCCACCATAGTTGGCCTCCACACTCAATCTCCAAACATTTCCTGAATATGCACTTGGCCGGGCCCTGAGCACAGTTGGCTCAGAAGCACCCCACGGCACTCAGGGAGTGTCAGGACGAGGGAGACAGTCCTGGTATATAATCACCACAAAGGCAACAAGAGGAATCTTCAGATGCTGGGCTGATGGGGCAGGGACAAACTATCAGGCCAGAGCTCAAACTGGGGACAGCTTCCTAGATAGGAGCAGATGTTCAAGCAGGGTTCTGAAGGATGAACAGGAGTTTGCTAGGAGATCAAGAGAGAAACAGCATTCTGGGTGGAAGACAAAGCACAGGCAAAGGGAGAAATAGCATGGAGGGTCTGTGGAAGTGCAGAGAGCTTCCCAAAGCCAGGCTGAGAGCTGAGCCCAGCTGTGGGTGGTGGGTGACAGCTCACCCACGTGGTGGTACTGGATGTGTATCTGAGGCCGCTCAGGGCTCAGCGTAGTTCTCAGCAGGGGTGCCAGGTGCTGCGTGGTCCTCACCAGGGCCATAGATCCGCCAACCACCTGGGAGGAAGGGACCCCCTCAGCACCACCGACACTCTGTAACGGCTGCCGGAGCCCCGCCCTGGGGACAGCAGATTCTCAATGCCCTGTGAGGTGACCACACTGCTCCAGACCCTGCAAGCCTCCTTGGGGGCTTGGGATCAAGTCCCGGGTCCCCAGACAGGCGCTGGAAGCCCTGCCTGGCCCAGCACTCCCTGTTCCATTCCCATCTCTCTCAAGCCCCCATTCCCAGTGACAGTGAAGGCTTTCTGGCACTCAGTGCCTGCCAGCCTGTCACCTGCCAATGGGAGCACATGCAGGTGGTGGGCCACACGTCCCCCAACTCTAACTCAATGCTAACCCCATAACAGGTGCCTGGATTTTAATTTTTTAAAAAGCCACATCGGGGGTGAGACTAGGGGAGCGAAGGGATGGCACACGCTAGCGGGACACCTGCTTATGCTCGGCAAGTCACCCAAGTCACCAGTAACTCCTCCCCATTGTGTCACCAAGACCAGTGTGACAGTCCCCCTTCTCCAGGCCAGAAAACTGATGTTCAGAGCCCAGCCTTTCCCAGCCTGCCATAGTGCCTGAGATCCCCAGTCAATTTGGCTTGCATGCTGCCTCTGATGGGAAGCTCACTTTCTGTCCTGGTGACAGGACCAGCCCGCCAGGCAATGCCATCTCCACCCCTACCCCCCAGGCCCGATTCTGTCCTGAGGTGACACAGTGCCACGTCTAAGCCTTCGGCCCCAGAGATCTGTGGCCCATGTCCACGGCTGAGGCCCCATGGACCGGGATGAGGACTCCAACGGCCTCTCCAGTGGATAGGGTCTTTCTCGTACTCAGGTGGGAAGCAGGTTCTTGGACATGGGAAGGCCCTTCCTAATTCATAGCTCTTAATCAGTCTTAACCACAGACACGGTTGTTTAGGTAGATTCAACTTAGAAACTAGACAAAAGAGGAGCTTCTTTCCTCCAAGGGATGGGGAGATAGAGAAATGGCTGCTGACTCACCCACAGCGACACAAGACAGGGGCCAAGCCAGGACCAGAGCCCAGAGCCCAGAGCCCAGGCCCCTGGCCAGCCCTGCCACCTCACCTTGCTGATGGACAGCCATGCACCAGCCAACTGCTCCTCCAGGGCCAGGCTGGTCACAGACATGATGCCCCGGCCCAGCTGCTCCCAGGGCCCCACCAAGGGTTCTGGCTGCCCCGCCCCTAGGGCTGAAGCCCTCTTCAGGAAGTGCAAAACAGCCAGCAGCACTTCGGGCCCCAGGCAAGGCTCCTGTACCAGCACTCTCTCCAGGACACTCAAGAAGCTGCAGGCCTTGTTCAGGGATAGCGGCCTGGGGGTTTTGGAGAGGGGGTCTGGCAGGAGCTGTGGGTAAAGGAGCCATTGTCTGGCTGGAGCCACTTGGGCTCTGCCAGGGTCTCCTTGGTGGGTGCAGGTGACACTTGCCACAAGCTCTTAGTTCTCAAGGGCTCCTAAATAGGGAAGATGAACAGCCTCAGTTGCTGCGGATGCATCGGGCGGGTGTCCCCTTTTGGGGGAGGAAACTGAGGTACACTGAGGTGACCCTAGTGGCCCCAGACCCTACAGTCTCCTGGGAGGGGCTCACCACAGTGTCGTTGGCCAACTCATTGACTTGGCTGATAACATCTTGGCCGGGCCAGGACTGGACATCCTGCAGCTGCTGATAGGTCTCTGTAAAGGGGTAGATGCCAGCCTGCTCAGCGACCCCATCCCCATTATGTGATGCCCAGGGCAAGAAACCCACATCCACAGCTGGAGCCTTGTACACAGTGTGCTAGACAGAGAAATTGAGGCACCAGCAGCAAAACCACTTGGCCAAGGTCGCTGTGCTGGGATCTAGGCCCAGGTCTGTGTGGCTCCACTGCCCTGTGGCCTAGATCCTGCGTAGGCCCTGTAGCTCGAAGCTGTTGAATCCCCTGACTCTGCCAACAGCTGGTTGCTCAGCTCGATGCGTCCCCCTCAGCAGAGCCTAGGGCACAGGCCCCGCGCACCTTTCCCGTAGCAGCAGAGGAAGCGCCGCCGCTGCAGGCAGAACTCAGAGCTCCTCGCTGCCCTGCCCTGGCTGCTGTTGCCGGGACCAGGGTTCCACGCGGGGCACTCCTCTGAGAGAACTGGCAGGACAGGGGACGGGTCAAGGCCGCACAAGGCTCCCGAGCTGTCATGTGACCCACCCACCTTGGGGGCCCGGAAGGTGCGGGTACACCTTTGGCCAGCGCCAACTCAGTGCCAGGCTACTACGGAAGGGCGAGGCCAGAGTTGGGTCCCGCGGGACGGCAAAGGGGTGCGCCGAGTTAGGCTTCCTGAAGGGAAGATACCTGGAGCCAGAGGGTGAGGCCTGAGCGCGCCCGCCAGGGGAGGGGCGGGGCCTGGCGGGCAGGGCGCCTACCCGGGCAAAGAAGGAGCACGCGCACTGTGGGCAGCAGTGAGGGCGTGACGTCCAGGGCGCCCGGGTCCCAGCGGAAGAGCAAGTAGCCTGGGGGCGGCGCGCGGCCTCGTGACCGGACCAGCTGCGCGGGGCTCAGCGCTCTGGCCCACAGGTGGAAGTCAATGAGTTTGCCGCTAAAAGCGTCTGGAGCTGAGAAGCCGCCTCCCGGGGTGCCCTGATCTTGGCCCAGGACTAAGATGCCACCGGGCGGCACCGGGTGGCCCGTGCCCAGTCCCCGCGCCCCTGCGCGCCTCTGCCCGTCGGCGAACAGCGCCCAGCGCCCGCCGCGCTGCTCCCACGTGGCGCACACGTGGTGCCGGCGACCGTCGGCCCGGGAGGCGACCAGGAAGGGCGCGTGGTGGCCGCGCACCACGAGGGCAGCCCGCACGGCGCCCCCGGGCTCCGCAAAGTCGCGGAGCTGCAGCGCGTTGGGCAGACCGGGAGCAGCGAGGGAGAAGAGCGCGGCGGCGTCGGGAGAAGCCCCGTCCCACTGCACGCTCCGCTCGCCAAACACTAGGACAGCGGTGGTGTGTGCGCCTGCGGGGACACGCGGGCCGGGGCCTCAGTTTCCCTAGCGGCGCATGACCCTCCCCTCTCAGCTTCTGAATGCAATTTGACGCATCTGCGAGGCCCCTCCTGGGATTTGGGGTGCCTCCTGCCCCCGGAAAAGAAGAAGCGAAGGTCCTAGGTTCCCTGCCCCAAAGGTCAAGCCGTATTTCCAGTCTAGGCAAGGGAACCTGGAGGTACAGTGAGGTGTTACTTTGGGCGCTTACCACGACTATTGTCACCGTGGGCTTCCATCTCTGAAGGACCCCTGAGCCCCTGCCTCACACCAGGCCCTCACTCACGCCTCCGAGGGGGTCTCTGCAGAAAGGCTTCTCTTTGGCCCACCCAGACGGAGTCTCGAAGCTGTGGAGCAAGAACTTCATCGGGAGGCCCCAGGGCCAGGTGGCCAAAGCGCTGTTCGCAGGACTCTTGGGCTTGCCACCAGCTGAGCCGCTGACCTGGGAACTTACAAATCCTGTCCATGGTCTCCACCACCTCGCCTGGGGCCACCAGGTCTGGAGGGCATAGGAGAGGGCCTGGGAGCGCATCTTGTGGGCCTTCAACCTCTGCAGTGGGCAGGGCCAACCAAGGACATAGTGCTGGGACCCTTTTGGCCCTGGACGGACTTGGCCCCTTGCTATGTTCTGTGATCTGGTCAGACCTACTCCCTTGGCAGAGCCTTTCCAGACCTGTGCCACAGGAATGAGGTGGACACGAGTGGAGCTTTCCATCCAGGGCCTCCCATGGTGGGGTCTGAGCTTAATCTCGTTTCTTCTCTTCCTTGGCTTTGGAGGAGGGGGGATCTTCATACCAACCTGCGGCCCCAGGGTTCCTTGATTCAGTTGGGAAGTCGGAGGAGGTGCCAGAGAGACTTTGGATCTGAGAGAAGAACACAGGTGGGCCTTGGCCAGGTGTCCCCTCCCCTGTGCAATCACTGAATGCCTACTGTGTGCTCCGGGGGCTGCGGTGGAAGCTGCAGGCTTTGGGATCGGTGTGATCTTGGGCAGGTCACTCCTCTGCCCTGAGCGATTCAGCCTTGTGAAAAATAAAGCTGGTGAATGAGGGTTAGCACCTCACAGGTGCTTTTACTCTATTTCTATGCCCAGGCTCATCTTTCATAACCTTTGCAGTGGCCTCATGATGTAGGGTGGCCACTTGGAACCCTAGCATCTTTGAGTCCCCTTATAGTCCCGCAAATCTCTTTTCCAAAGCTCAGGTACCAGGAGGTAGAGGAGGCAGTAGCACCAGCGGGCCATTCTGGATATCTGGATCCAGCAGGGGCAGTGGAGGGACGGCAGGGTCACAGGCCTGGCCTGTGTGGGCTGAGAAAGAAAAGTAAAGGAAAGTAGCTCAGCATCCTGCCTGGCTACCCCCTCTGACTCCGGCAGGGTCACGGCGCCCTTTATTTTGGTCCCAGATCTCACTGGGCTGGGAGCCAACCAGGGATTGGAGCCCTGGAAAGTGTGGCCACCCGCAGAGGATGACATTTGCTTGCACAAGGGGATGGTCTCTGGGAGCCCCTTCAAGACTGAAGCTGGGAAACAGTCTCCCCGGTGAGCAGTGAGGGTGGGAAGCAGCACAGGTGATGGGTAGAGGTGGGGCTCCCGTGGCGTCCAAGGCTCTGCCTCATCTGTCCCATTGTTCCCCATTTGGCCACCTGTTCACCTGCTCCTCAAACTGCAGCCTTTTCCACAATCCCTAGGTATCATCGGTTCTCCAGATCTCTGTCCTCCACACCGGGGATTGAACCCAGGACCTCTGCACTGTTATCTCTCCAGCTGTTTTCATTTTTTATTTTTAAAATTTTGAAAGTGGGTCTTGCTAAGTTACTCAGGCTGGTTACTAAGTACTCAAACTTGAGAACCTCCTGCCTCAGTCTTCCAGAGGGCTGGGATTTCTTCTCCAGATCTTTGGCACGCTGTCCCCCATCCCGCAGTGGTCTCTTCCCTTAGCGACACCTCCACCAAGGCTGGTTCTCTATTTCTCAGACCACTCAGCCTTGGTGATAGGTCTCCCGCAGCTGGGCACTGTACTGAGTTGGGGTTACCCTAATCATAGTTGAACTGGGGCTCACTCCTGGCAATTCGGGGGGCTTTGCAGGTGGGGCAGAGCCTTCTGGAGCCATCGCCAATGACAGTTCATGCCCTTTCTTCCCAAGAGGTTCACCTTTTTTGGACTCTGAAAAGGACCAATGTATTATTACTTTTCCCCCTTTAAACAGCATCTGAGTTCTCCAGCCTCCACCCTCAGCGCAAGAGGGTAAGGAATTAATTTGGGAGTTTAGTCCGGGCTGACTCAGTGCCTAGCATGCACTGGGCACGTAGTGGGAGGCCCGTAGATGCCCACCCCTTGTTCACGCTTGCAGGTGTTTTTTCCTGAGGGCTCAAGCCCTTTGGCGCCCCTCCTTGGTCGCCAAGCCCTCGCTAACGCCGGGGAGTAATGAATCTCTCCTAAGCAGATGGGCCTGCGACACGTACCTACTCTCCCGGCTGGTCCCTCCCATGTTCCCATCCCCAGGTCCTCACCCGCGTCGCCGGAGGGTCAGTCCAGTCTGCCTGCTGGATGTCCCAGCTGCTCGCCGCTTTGCAGCCTCCCGGGGCGGGGCTGGGGCGGGGCCCGGGGCCCCGCCTACTGCCCGAGCCCCGCCCCCTGGGTGGATGGGAGGGGCCCTTCAGTGCCAGGACGGGGCCTGTTGTCACTTCCTACCCACAACACGCAGGTAAAGTCACCCGATTGGAAAATCGAAGACCTGGGAGACTCGGACCCAAAATAAACTTGTGGTGTCGGAGGAGCCAGGAGGAGCCACAGGCCCCACCACTTCACCTTCAGCGTTGCCACAGCGAGGGAGGTCTTACACCCACTTCCACAGGGACGGAGGGCTGTTGCCCCAAGGTAGACGGCTGGCGCAGCGCCTGGCCTTGAAATCCTGTCTCTGAGTCTTTATCCAGGCCAGAGAGTAAGGCAGGTGCCAGCATGGTGGTGCATGCCTGTAATCCCAGCTGCTCTGAGGCTGAGGCAGGAAGATCAAATTTTGAGCCTAGCCTGGGCAACTTAGTGAGACCCTGTGTCAAAAGAAAAAATAAAAAGGGGTGGGAATATAGCTCAGTGTAAAGATCCTAGGTTTAATCCCCAGTACTGGGGGTGGGGGGGGGAAGAAAGAAAAGGAGTGAGGGATGGAAGAGAGCCCAGGGGAAGGATGCAGAGAAAACTGGAGGGACTAGGGGATGCAGAGGGGACGTCCCCTCATGGGAAGGGGCCACAGAAACTGGGGTAACCTAGCTGGCCTCAGGAATAGATTCCTGGTTGGCCTGGGGCCAAGGCTTTGGGGTCACAGGGCCCCAAGTTCATGTTGACGCTGATCTGAGACACACTACCTAATTTCTCTGAGCCTCAGTTTCCCCATCTGTAACGTGTGGATGATAAACGTGAGCACATGAGGCATGGGCTTGCTGTGAGATCAAGATGACTCTGACTGAAAAGGTATAAAGCCTCAGGCTGTGTATGGTGCAAGCACAGGGCCCAGTCAGCATCCTGGTCAAAACTTACCCTTGTAAGAATGAATACTTGCTGGCAACACAAGTGTTTACTTTTCTTTCTATTGTGGTAACATACACAGAACAGTAAATTTACCATCTTATGAAGGTTTTTTTTTTTTAATCGTTTATTTCTAAAAGAAGAACCAAGATGAATGATATATTAATGCTCTGTGTGCTATTTTTCCCCCCAGCTTTTCTCTGAGTTTGAGAATTTTCAAAATAAAAATGAAGGGATAAGAGGTCACTATTTGTGGCAGAGCCCTGAGCATTTCCCAGCTTCCTGGGCCAGCAGAGTGAATGCAGGACTTGCCTCTCCTGAGTTTGTGACTAAAGTGTTAGTCAGCTTTCTGTCACTGTGACCAAACACAAAGGAAAACAACTTAAAGGAAAGGTTGATTTTGGCTCCTGGTCTCAGAGGTTCCAGTCCATGGTCCCTTGGCTGCATTGTTCCTGGTGAGGCAGAAGCGTCCCAGAGGGAAGGTGGAGCAAAGTAGCTCGCCTCATGGCGCACAGGAAGGAAGTCATCACCAGACATGGCCCCTTGACCTTGGACCTCCAGAACCATAAGCCAAAGTAAACCTTTCTTCTTTATAAAGTAGCCTACCTTTAGTAACACAAGACAGATAAATACACCACCCTGTACCATCTTGTTCAAGGCAGATCTTGACGGCCCATTTTACATATGTACAAACTGAACCCAGAGAGCAGACAGGACCCCCCCCAAGGCACCTGGCAAAGAAGTGGGGGCTCCAGGTCTCCCTCCTAAGTGTGCCCTTTCTCTCAGTGGTGGGAGTGGGGTTCACTCAACCCTGTTGTGTGATGTCCTTTGTGTGCCCTCTCTGCCTTGCCCTTCCTGCCCTGTCCCAAAGCCCTCCCTGCAGCCTGGGTAACAGCCTTTCAATTCTTGACCTCCAGCCCAGCCCCTCTGTTCCCCAGGGGCTGTATTTCCCAGAGTCCTCCTGGAGATGGCCGAGTACTGTAGTGGGCGGAGGGGTCCTTGAATGCCAACTTGCGGGCCCTCCTGGGCAGTCGGGGCCTAATCTCTCCTCCGCACAGCCCAGGCAGGCATTGTCTGGCTGCTGGGCAGCGGCCATCCATCGGCTTTATGGGTGGCAGCTCTGACAGGTCCCTTGTCTCCGTGGACGGGGCCTGGAGGCTGAGGGTGACTGATAGCCATCGGGGACCTCAGGTTCATTGTCCAGCTAGTGGGGTGGGGAGCGGTGTGGGCATCCAGGCCCCTGGGAGCCTTGAGGTGACCTGAGGACATGCTGGTCCTCATCCCTGGCCCTGGCTCAGCCCCTCAGCCAAACTTCTAGTTCAGAGCCAGACATCTTGGAAGGGAGAGCTGGCAACTGGGATGTTGTCATCTTGGGCTCCCCCTGCAGTGGAGCCTTGGCCAACAGTCTCTCTATTCCATTTCTCCCACAGAGGGTGAATCCCCTCTTCCTCTGTGGATATAAAGGAGCTGGGCATGATGGCGCAGGCCTGTAATCCTAGCACTTGGGAGGCTGAGGCAGGAGGATCACTGTAAATTCAAGGCCAGCCTGAACTACATAGCAAGATTGGAAGCAGAGTTTCTCTCCTCTCCCACACCCTGCCCCAGGGCCCAGAGTGTCTAGGATGGGCCCAAAGCCAGCCTAGCCTCCTCTCTTGCCTGCCAGAATGGTTCACCCCACACAGCACTGAGTGAGCACTCATGGGTTTCCTTCCAATCCTGTCCCTCCCCTGCTCAAAACCCTTCTGTGGCTCCCTTGTGCCTCTGGGACAAAGTCTCACCTTCCTTTGGTTGTGAGCATGAGCAGGATCCAGCCCTGCCTCTCTCCTCCCTCACTGGGCCTTTCCTTCCTACACTGGCCAGAATGACCGCCTTCCTGTCCTCCTCTCTGGGCCTTTGCACATGCTGTCTCTCTGCTCGGGAATAGGCTGGGCCTACACACAGACACACACACACACACACACACACACACACACACACACACACACGTCAGGTCTCTGTTCAGACCTTCTAGGACGCTGGCCCTGCCTCCCTGCACTGAACTCGTTCAGGAGCTTCTGGTCCCTACAAACCCCAGGGAATTGTCTGCCTGCCCACACCCGCTCCAGCACCCAGGCCAGGCTTGACAGAGCGGGCATTTGTGTTTGTTGATGGACTGAAGAATCGGTCCCGCAGAGCTGGGCATGTCCAGGCAGATGCCTGTAACTCTAAGGTCTGAATGTGTATGATTTGGGAGCTTTGGGGGGCAGGCAGTAGGACCAGGACTCTGCCCATGGGCCCCGAATCCTGACATAGTCACTGCTGCCTGAGGCTGCCAGAGGCCAAAACAACTGTAGTGCTCAGTGCCAACTTGGTCAGTGGGGAAAACCCCTCTCACCCGCCTGTCCCCACCTGTCACCAGGGCCTCTCTGGAAGCTGCAGGCAGCTGATGCAGTGACTTGAGCTGGGAGTCAGAACCCATCCCTGTCCTACCTGAATTCCTGGCCCCTCTCTGCCACCAACTGGCACAGCGACCTGAAAAAAGTCTCAACCTATTTGTGACATCCCCAGTGCAGAGCCTGGTACACAGCAAAGACTCAATAAATACCTATTTGTGTTCAAAAGAAACCAACAACCAGGCTGGATATGGTGGCACACACCTGTAATCCCAGCACTTTGGAGGCTGAGGCAGGAGGATCACCATGAGTTTGAGGCCAGCCTGTGGTACCTAGTGAGTTCAAGGCCAGCCTGGAATACACAATGAGACCCTGACTCAAAGAACAGACAAAACAAATATTACAAAACCTGGTGCTGGCATGGGTGTGGTGAAATCAGTAAACTCAGGTGTGGTCACACAGTGTCAAATAGCCCAGTCCTCTTAGAAATCAATAGAAAAACATATGAAGAGCAACAAAGACATTAAAATCCTTGGCTAAAGTAATTCTATACTCTGGTAAATGCCCTGTGTATAAAGATCATTAGTCATACATTATTGTATAAAATTGGAAAATGGAAGCTATGTAAATGTCTCACAAATACATCAAGACTTACCCACTTGAAGAAATACTAAGTCATTAAAATGAGATAAGTAAAACAACACAGTAAGGAAACTGCAAATGAAAACAAAAAAAGAAAAAAATAGGAAGCAAAAATTCTATGGGTTGTAATGTCAAATAAGTGCAACTTAATGTGAAGTGTGGCATATTGTGTCAGGGACTGAACTGGCCTTTGTTCCCACCACCCTTCTCCTTTGTCCCCAGAAAATACTTGTTTTCTCTGCCTCTCCTGCAGCTGTGGGCAGTCAGTCATGTTACCACTGAAATGTAAACCAAAGTGATTTAGGGAAATGCTTTGCTTTCATGATAAAAAGATCATCATAGCTTTCACCAAACTCTTCTATCTACCCTGAATGGAGGTGAAAGGAGTGGTGCTGCAGTGGCCTTCTTGTGACCATGAGACAGAAGTATATCAAAGAGAGGCAACCTCTCAAGGCTAGTAGAGCAGCAAGATTGAGAGACTGGGTCCGTGACATCGCTGACACTCCCCAACTGGGGGCCACCTACCAGAGTGATCTTTTAGGTACGTGAGGAAAACAATCCCCCATTATCGAAAGCACTGTTGTAGTTACTTGCAGCAGGGAGCATCCCTAATGGACACGTGGACAAAGCCTCAGAAGCCAGGGGACAGTGGACAAACTTTGGAATCAAGCAAACTGGGGTTCAAATTTCATTTTTCCTTCTGTATCATCATGGGATTTTAGGCGAGCCACTGCTCCTCTATATCTCTCTTCCTCTAGCTTTAAAATGAAGCAAATAACGCCCCCCCCCCCACACTCCCAGAGGTTTTCAAGGGTAGGAAAGGACAGATTTAAAAGTGCTTTGTTCCCAGTTAAGAGTGATATTAGCTGGGTGTCATGGTGCACTCGAGAGGCTGAGGCAGGAGAATCGTCACAAGTTTGAGGCCCGCCTGGGCTACATAGTGAGACCCTGTCTTGAAATAAAACAAACACATGAGGGCTGGGGATTTAGCTCAGTGGTTTCACCGCCTGCTGCACAAGCGCAAGGACCTGAGTTCGATCCCCGGTACC